TTCGTGAAAGGAAATCATCAGTGGGCATATTATGTGGATTCTTAAGATGCTCTACATATGATACTGCTGCAAATTTTTTTCACAGGATTACATACAAGTAATGATATTTAAGAATGCACATCAGTTATTTGGCATTGTTAGCATTGTTAATTGAGATTTGTTGTTTATATATCTTTTGTAATGCTAATGTCTTCTGATGGATCGGGCCTTGGTGTGGCCTTGTTAGCTAGTGATAGTTTCCAGAGCAAGTCCTCCTTCTTTTGGGGTCTTAAATATGCTGCTGCAAAGAATGGGATATTTATCTATCTAGTAATTAGAAAAGTGAAGCAAAAGCTTTTATGCCAAATTTGTTTGTCATTTTCACAAAATAAAAATTATGTGTTGGGAACTTAAAGATCTAGACCTGCATTTTCAGGACAAGGCCACATCTGGCAAACAAGGGCTTGGTATCAAGGACCGTACCAAGAAAATTGCAGGCTGTTACTTTGAAGGAAAAAAGACTACTTTTGGAGACAGCGATGATGAGAATTCTTCTGATTCACGTTCTCGTTCTTCAGTGAAAAGGAAACATGAAAATATTTCAGAGACAGATAACATTGTGGGGCCTAAACAGAAACTTAAGAAGTTGTGCAGAAAACTTCTTCGGCAGGTCTTGTCTTGATATATATATATATATATATATATATATATATATATATATAAATTACCTGCTAATTTTGGTTGACATTGCTGTTAAAAGTTTTGCGTGCTGAGTTGCTTCCTGGTACAGGCACCCGGGGAGTCATTAAAGCTGAAACAGCTCAAAGTTCTTATCGATGAACATTCACCTTCTACATTCTCCAGCTTTTCTTCGGATGAGGCCCTTACCTTATTAAAAACCAAGGTACCTCCATTCTCCTAAGTTATGGTTTTGGTGGCCCCTACAATGCTAAAATGTCATACTTCTAGTTTAAGTATCTTGAACATGTCGAATTACGACGACTTCTTTGTTCTCCTGCAGCTTGAAAACAGTGATAGATTTTCAGTTAAAGGAAAGAAAGTCTTGCTTACAAAATGAAGCTGATGAGTTTTTTCTGGCACCTTGTCGATCTGTAACGATGTGTACACGGCCATGAAGAGGTATTTGATAGAAATAGTTGTTTCAGTTTTGGGACAGCAACAGTACACGTCGTTAAGCCATAGAGTGATTGTATGTTCCATTCTTGGCCGGGGGTGGAAACATGTATTTTAATTTATGTATTTGTTTTTAATTTTTTTTTTTTTATTTCTTTTTCTATTTTTTTCCTCTTGATCAAATTTTGAGCAGATGATATCAGATGAGTTATATTGCTATACTGCTAGTTAAAGAGTCAAATGAGTAGCAAATATGTGAGCTGACAGAAAAATAATATTTGATTCCGGTTTTCCGACATTTACAGGTTACTAAAATAATTTGAAGGACAAGAATTTATTGTTGCCTATCATATGCCACTGTAACATTTGTTTGTTCTCACAAAGGTTTGAGTTGTATTTGAAGGTGCATAATATTGCCAACGCAGGTGGATTCTTTCATAGTATAGAACCCAGAAGGGTGATCAATGATCAGTAAGTCAATGCAAGTAGTGTGTAAGTACAGAAATTGGGTAACCAAAAAATATTCTTAATTTAGTGTGCAACTTCTCAAAATGACATATATTAAAAATAGGAGGTAGTAGTAAATTTGTGAATATCGTAGGCTTTTTTGGATAGTATTTCAAATAAATTTGTTGAAATATTTATTTGAGTTGACTTATCATCTAATTTTATAAGCTAAATTTTCTGTTATAAGTTATTATCTATAAATTCGAACATTTATCAGCTATTAGCTAGGTCTGCCAAACACAACTTAAGAAAAAAAAAAAA